CAAGTCCTGTGCAAAAACGCATGATCGCACGGGCCCGCCCGGTGCGTTCCAGCCTGGGTTTCACAAGGCGAGCATTTACCGAAAAAACGACCGGACTTCATGCAAAAAACCGGTGATCATGCATTTGGATATCCGCGCAGCTCTATAATGTACCACCTTCATCCCAACTGATGTCTTATCTCCTGCATGCCAGAAAGGATCAAAGCACGACCAATATTAGCCCATGTGTTAGGCTACAGCGTATCATCCCTGCTAATAGCGATCTCCGAGTTTAGTGCAAAAACGCATGATCGCACCGGGAGCCTGGTGCGTACCAGCCTGGGTTCTGTTGTGTTGCCATGCTATGCTAAACCAACTGCATTTGTTAATACAAGGCGATTTGAAGCCATCCTTTCTCCTCCAGTCTTCTGATCACTGATATTTGCAGTTTATATCCTTACGATTTCCAAGTTACTTAAAGAAAGCGAAGTGCTCCTTTAGTCAAAGTAATCTGTTTTTTTATTCTATGGTGATCTGCATGGTTTTGATATTTTGGTCAGCTGCATTTTATAGCATAGTTTCTCCACTAAACAGCTGGCAGCCTTGCCGTTTGCTATGACCAGTCTGCTATATTGTCCAGTGGTAGCCTATTGGCAGCCATAATGTGTTTTTCATTCCTTCCAGGAATCAGTAATTTCCAGCTGAAAGACCGCTGAATTACATTCTTCTGCTAATTAAAGATCCATTGAGCTTCTTTCTGTGAACTGCAACAATGTGGCAAAAATCGAAAGACTACGGAAAGCACTTAATCCATTTCGTAAGAATTTTAGCAGTCCTAGAAAAAAATTATTGTTCGATTCTGTAAAGAAAGTCTGGCAGAAATGAAGTACGCTATGGTACCAAATTTCTCAAAGTACCATGCTTATAAAAATCGTGCGCTTATTGGATTGGACCAACTTCTAGACGAGCAGACAAATGCTTCGTTTGGATGTACCTAAGAATATCAAGACAGCCCGAAAAGTCGGCTTGGCGATCCAGTGCTACCGCTGCTCCATACAATTCCAATATGTTGCCTTCGTCAGCAGGGACTGTTCACAACATTTACACCTCTTTTTCTGCCTCCAAAATCTCACAGAAGTAAAGGCTGACTCCATCCTCATGCATTCAGTCTACCCTTCTTTTTGCTCACTTCAAATTCTACAATGAAATTTATCCGCTCTCGGCTTTATTTAAGCATCAGCTTAATAAATACGGAGGCCCACTACTGCACACAAGCTTTAAACGAAAGAAAAACCCGTTATCAGTAGAGGACTTCCCCATTCATGAAGCTGATGCTTAGGTAAAACTGAGAGCGAATAAAGTAAAGCTGCGCATGTATGGCTGAGAGCTTACAGCTTTAACTAAGCATCAGCCGCTTAAACAGGAAGGTCTACTATCTCAAGCGGGCTATATAAGGCAATTTTCATTCATAGGTCTCGCTTTTTGCTATGTTTTTAATCCGTGTTTTGCTCCTGCTTTCTCAGTTTCTATTTGCTTCCCCTTTCTTTAGCTTTTCTTGCGTTCTGATTCTTTGATTTCGCTTTTTTCCGTTTTTTCTTTCATTAATTCAGGGTTTCTTTAATTGAGTATTCTTTGTGCTGCTGTATTGTCCCTTTCTCTTTACTACTTCT